TGATTGCCTTTTCACTCGCAAAGGTAACACTTACAGTGCTACGTTATGACCGTAGTTGTTGTCAGCTTGGGTAAAAAGTTCACTTCTCACTGGTCAGCACCACCACCTCTGTGCTGTCCACTGTGTGTGTTCGTGTGAGGAGAAAGGACACCAAAACACAGTAGTTTTTTTCCTTTTTATTTGGCAGAGGCACTGCGCCTTGACTACCCTGTGTGAACGCAGGGCGCATGTAAATAAAATAGGATTTTTCTAACTCATTTCAGTCAGTCATTTGCGATGTGTTTAATGCACATGTTCATATCACGATGATGATGAAAATGTGTGTGTGTGTGTGACTTATTGGTCAGCACTACATACACATTAATTGGAGAGATAGATATAGAATGAATTCTTGCGATCTTGATGACTGTTAAGATCAGTATTTCTACTTAAAATGTGTATTTGTCCTTCTCACCTCTCTTTGACTTTTCCTCAGCTTTGAAAAAGGCACTGAGTGAGATAAGAGAGACAAGTGAAAGAAACAGAGGCAGGGACACCCCAACAATCCATCAGTGAGATAAAAGGAGAGAGGAAAGAACATCAGACAGAGAAATGGCAGGAGCAATACAAGAGGGAGGTTGGAGTGTTTGTATTTAGGTCAGGCAGCAGAGAGGGACATTCATCCATCAAGGCTCCATCAAAAATTTAAGAGCTGCATCTTTTCTGATTAGCGCTTAGATTAAAGACATATACAGAACATCTCTGATCATCTGTCAAACTGCTCAGCCAAGGAGTGCAAGCTGCATTCTGTCAAGTAATGAGGCTGCATGTGATTGGCCCCAACAAACACATTTATAAAGATGTATAGCAGTGACTGGCAGGCTGACGCATGAACGAACACACACACACACACACACATACACACACACACACACACACACACAGTGTCTTGTCACATGTTAAGTGTGTAATTGGTTAAGATGGAGGACAGATGAGGGTCTTTGCAGTACCAGAGACCCCTACAGCGTCAAGCTTTAAGATGGGGGAGGGAGGGGGATGCTAATCCAGAATTTAGCCTTTGTGTGTGTTTTGTTTGTGTGTGTGTGTGTGTGTGTGTGTGTTTGTCTGTTCACCTGCTGCATGTTTGGCTGTGAATGCAGGTCACGTCAGAATTGTATTTCAGTGTGTGCAAGCCTGCATGTATGTCACACATAACTAATGTTTGGGTTGGCTTGTGTGTGTGTGCGTGTGTGTGTGTGTGTGTGTGTGTGTGTGTGTGTGTGTGTGTGTGTGCATACGTGACATCTTTTTTTCTTTCTTTTTTTCATACACCACCAAAGTCATCCTGTGCTTGTGCTCATATTCATGCAGGAGTCACTGTTGGCTGTCATAACAGGCATACTTGTAAGACTCTCTCTCTCTCTCTCTGTGTGTGTGTGTGTGTGTGTATGTGTACGTGTGATTAAGTGCTGGGAGAGAGGCCTGCTTGAGAACCTCAAGGGAGATGCAGTCAGATAACAGCTACAATGCAGAGAAAACAGCCAGCAGAGAAACAGACTGTTTGCCTGAAACCTTCAACAACTCTGAACTATCTTTATGAGGAGGGATGGGCGGGCAGGGGGTGTAGGGGGAAGTAGTGGAGAGGGAGGGAACATGGGAATAAGATAAAATGAAAAGAGAGGAAGAGGCATAGAGTGAGGCTCTGCCAGAGAAAGAGAGAAATAGAAGTTTGTGACATTTTCAACAACAGGCTGAGCTGAAAAAGAAACAGCAACACAGCAAGACAGAGAATACATTAAATTAAGAATAAATCTCATCTATGCATTCCTTTATTTTTTACTCCTCTCTGACATTGAATATAATTCAGTCATGTTCTTTTGTCTTTTCTTCAGTATCACTGTTGTTTCTCTGTTGGGAGCAGCAGCTCTGACCAAAGTTAAATAACTAACTTAATAAACTTCTTCTAAAGCTAACTGATTAAATGTTGTATTAAATGATAAAATCACCAGTAGTATAAAAATTAGTCTCTGGTTTTAGCATAAGGTTCATGCTGCAGCTGTTAGACACACAGACAGGTACCTGCAGTGAAGCAACTTTAATAGGTAAAATGAAGAGGACCAGGCTTACAGGCAGATGGATGGAGAAGCAGGCAGGTCTAGATAACAGGTTACTGCACACAGATCGCAGGCACATAGGGAAACACATTCACACAGATGCAGATGATGTAAAAAGTGACTTTGGGTTCATTTTTGGCTTGTTTTTTCAACTTGGAAATTGGGTTCGTGACTTAAATGGAGCCCCTCAGGGGGGATTAGTGTTCACCTGTGTTTTCACCTGCTTCACATTCAGTCTGACCACCTGGCTTATTGAAAGGTGCCCTTTTTCACTTTGGAGTATGAGCTATCTCGGTCTTACTGACCAGTCAGTATAGTGAACTGTATCCTCTCACCTTTCCTCATGTCTTGAGTTCTATCACACAGATTGTAACAAGTTCACACATCATTCTCCGAGTTGTAATTCCAAGTAAGAGATATTATTATTATTATTATTATTATTGTTATTATTATTCTGACAGCTACGATATTTGGTCAAAGGAACTGCACAAGTGTCAACAGATCTGTAACAAAATGACTGTAAGCTAACACTGCTGACATCAGTTACATCTAAATACAATCTGATATCAACACTCATTTTGTTGTTTCAGCTAAAGTAGGGAAGCATGATATGCAAAAGAAATTATATTGCGATTATTTTGGCAGATATTGCAATATGAGTGACAATTTCAGTTGGAACAGTTGTTTTTGTATTTTTCATTTTTACTGAAAAAGGAGGATGATGTGATTGTTGTCAGTCTTGTTCCAACCAAACATGTTCTTTACGTCTGGAGAATATGATTTGTAGTCCGGGGCGTCTCTGTAGCACCACAACACTTGGTTCCCTGGTTCTTTGGTTCTCTGGTTCATTGGTTCTCTGATTCTTTGATTCTCTGGTTCTTTGGTTCTCTGGTTCCTTGTGTAGCGCCTCTCTAGCATGGGCTATAATGAGAGGTGGCTAACCTGAGTTCTTTTCTATATCCAGAATAGGTAACTGTGATACTAATAAGCTTACTTTAACTTACCTTATGCGCATGTAATTTCAAAATGTAATGCTTTTCACTTTAAATCTCTAATAAACTAATAACCATTACACCTTACTTTGCAATTATCATGTAATGCAATGCCTCTGAAATGACTTTCACTCTTAAGAAACACTTTAACTCTCACAAGACAGTATTAATGTTCTTAGAACTATCAAACTTTAAAGTTACCATCCATATGTCCAGAATGTCAAAATAGTCAGTAAACACACGTGTTTATAACATAGTATGAGCATTTACTTAGAAAAGTAAAAAAATAGAAAATTCCATTTAAACCTTTCTTTTCCAAATGTCTTTTCAGTTCTCAGAATACCTTTTACATAATGTATTCAATTCAACAAAATATCAATACCCACAATGCTAACCTATGAGCCCAAGCAAGTAAACCTATAGCCGGCAATTAAAAAAATAAACCAAAATACCCAGTTTTAAAGTTGCTGGCCAGAAAGATGCTCGTGTACGCTGCAGCCCAAAAGAGAATGGCTCCTTCGCCCGCAGGCAAACAAACATTGGTACCTATACAATATGACGGTCCGCACGCGCAGTCCAAGGCGGCAGGAATGAGAGAAAAGAGACGAGGATTCACACCAGGGCAGACGATGTTGGAAAAGTCCTCTGGTCGGCAGCACTATCCGGCTCCGTCGGGGTCTCTGTCATCTACGTGTAGTTCACAGATTCACACAGGCTTTACTAGTGGAGTTCGCTGATCGCTAGCATCCTAGCAAAGTCCATGAACAAGCACTAGCCACTGTCTTAGCAGATAATTTAACTAAACTTTGTCTTCTGTTGAGTAGTCCACCCAACTGACTAACTCTATCACCATTTACATTTCTTAAAGAGTCCTTGTCGAACACTTTCACCAAATGATGATCAACTTTAGAATCAAACACATTTCACCCGCATCAGCGGGCTCCAAGTCTGTCTTCCTACATCTTGCCACTCTCTCTCCCGTCAACGTCCTCCCCCCGTCTCACTTCCTGTCCTTTGACCCTGAATGTGATTCACTCATTTACAAAAGTTACAAAAATATAGTAAATTCACTATCTTCCTTCCACATATTATTGTAGATATGAACACATTTCAATATAAATTCTTATACAACAAATAACTACCATGTCAATGACATGTACACCTTGATGACATTACTCAACATGCAACCCTCCCACACTGACAAAACTATAACTTCATTGCTGGTCAATGAATTCTAAGCTTTTAACTTAATTACTATTTATTAAGCTATGAACTTATTTATTGAACTTATATTCTCTTGAATACACTGCAATATATTTTAACAGGGTTACACTTGGTTCCCTCCTTCTCTGTTCTCATTCCTTCATGTGGAGAGATTGTGGTTTTAGTTAAATGTAAATAACTAAACATAAGCATTAAAAGTTTAATAACGCTGTATTCACTACAAGCTGATGTTGTGCAGTAAGATATGTAAATGAACAACACATTCTCATTCATTTGTATTACGTTTCAAAAAGTAATAGCTGTTGCAAATGAGCTGTTAAGCTTATAAACATCTTTTCATGGAATTTTTTGTTGAAAATTCAGAATTCTTATACATTTCAGTCACTGTACAACCTGCTTTGGCAACACAGTACAGTACTCAATTACAATTTTTCTAATAAAGTAAATTTGATTGTGAGAGAAAAACCTTGAGAGTGGATTACAGGGACAGAATTGGTGAGGACTGGATAGAGAGAGAGAGAGGGCGGGGGGTCATATAAGAGAGCGAAAGAGGCTGACAGAGGGAGGGACTTAGAGGGAAAAAGAGAGACAGAGCTGAGAGGATACACGGAGAAGATAAGAGAAAGGAAGCGAGAGAAGAAGGCACACAGCGTGGTTTGAGTTGAACAGGGTGAACTAACAGAGAGAGAGAGAAATCACCACAGAGATTGTTATGTGAAATATTTGGACTTAATCTACTCAGCAGCAGCTCGGAGGGACACTGAGGCTTTTGTGAGGTAACTGCTCTGCTTTTCGCTCCTAGCACTGCTTATTGATGAGAACATGTACAAAAGGGCACTGAGATGCTTCTCTGCCTCTTGATAATGGTTTAGTTCATGTATTCCCAAGTATCAAGGTTATTCCTTAAGTATTTAATGAGAGAGATGGGACAGTAAGCTGCACGGGGGTTGGGAAGCCTGTAGTTCTCTTAAATCAATTAAAGAAGTGACAGCTACAGTAGAGGAGCTGCAATCAGGACATGTTGCGCATTCCTAAACAGGAGAGCCTGTTCACTTTGTGTGGAAGCACATGCCTGTGGTTTACGCCCTCTGATCAGTTTCTGATTTGGCAATGTGAAGTTAGAATCTAGTGTAGCAGGTTGGTCTGTGAACACAAAGGTGAAGCTCAAAGAAATTAAAAATTAAAGGAAGTATAGCACTTGTGCAATGGTGTTGCTTTAAAGATACATTTACACATTTTGTTATATTCTCACCTTAAAACCTCAAATATTCTTGAGGTTACTATTTTCATGCTTTTACAACTGGACTGTGAAACTGAGCCTCAAACACTGATAGAGAGCTTGAAGGAAATTACAGCTCATACAATAGGCCATTTACATATCTGCTATTTTTTATTTCCCAGTGATTAACAAAGTAACTGTTTTCTTTTTTTAATGATGGTTTCATCAAACTCTGCCACATGAGAAATGTGATTCTATTTTCAGAAACAGCATGAGTGTTACAATACAACATTCACAGTGATTCTGAAAAGAGAATCACACAGATTAATTTCCCTGTGCACTGTTTACATAGGAAATTATTGGCTGTGATGTAGTAGAGTGGAGTTTGTCTTTATGGATGTAAATCAGTGAGGTAGTGATTGAAGAAATCAACCAATGTGTGAACTGGTTGTTTTAACTAGGAACACAATCTACAGCTCTATTTAGGAGCAAAAAAATCCATGATACTGTGGGAAAGTCACAATGAACAACTGAAAACAAGCAAAGATGCAGCAGTTAAAATTATCAGATTTTTGTTCATCTATTTATTCATTTATTTATTTATTTTTTTACAGCTGATTCAGATATGTTTCTCTGTGCACTGTTCTGCTCCTTCCTTCATTGATTGATTGCAAAAAGCTGTAAACACAACATCACCTCATGAAGTTGCGACACATCCAGCAGAAAAAACAGAAACATTAGCTTTCATTTCTCGTTGTGTTTGTGTCCACTTGGTGAAGTTTACAGTGATATCAGCTCTGTGTCCATGGACTCCTGAGGAGTTACCTCTTTAGCTGCTAAATGTTCCACTGTGTTCACCAGCTAGACAGCTTTCCACTCCACTCACTTCACACTTCACATTCAAAGCGAAAAAACAAACACTTGCTGAAGTCAGATATTAATAAACTCCTCTTACTCCTCTTTCTTCTTTTCAAGGGAAATCCTTTGTCTCAACTTTATTCACTGTCATTCTGTTACGAGAGGAAACTGTGTCACATACAAAGACAAGCGTCTATGTTTGGATCGAGAGGGAAGTAACTTGTATCACAAACAGAGTAGTTTATTTTGTTCAATGCAGATGTAATTTAAGTGAGTTATGTTGTTCAGGCAGCAATCATAATGATATACAGTCATCAGTCACACAGAACAGCCATAACCACACCGTAAATCATTCATTTAAAGTTAGAAGGCAATGAAGCAATAAAGAATAGATTTAGATACACTGATTCCAGCTGGAGTAAAACTGGGACTGCCATTTGTCGTGCTCACACAGTGTGCAAGTGAAAATCATTAGTAGCCTGTTGTTATTAATGATCAACAGGCTACTAATGTTGATGTTAAAGATAATGTGAAATTTTAGCCGTGGCACTCATAACCAAGCAGTGGCGGTGTGCCACTGCTGAGTGAATATAGGAGAAACACTGCATAGCATACATAAACAAGTGGAAAACTAAAAAGAACTCAGAGGGACCATACCTTCAAGGCTGCATAATCCAGTAATGTTAAGAGTGCTTTGTTTTTAATCATCGTCTGGATCTAGATCTGTAACTGCACTGTGATGGACAATCATGCTGATTTATGGAATTATTTGTACTTTCTTCATATTTTAATATTTGTACTTTGTTCAAATGTGAGTCAAATTTATAGATAGATAGATAGATAGATAGATAGATAGATAGATAGATAGATAGATAGATAGATAGATAGATAGATAGATAGATAGTTTATTTATCCCCTAAAGCAGCAGTTGTCAAAGTGTGAGGTGTGCCTCCCTGGGGGGGCACCAGAGAACTTCAGGGGAGGCACAGTGTGAGAAAAAATAACTGTAAACATCTAATTAGCTTAACTCAGCTATGCATGACGCAAAATGGATCAAATTTTAGTAGCTACAGTGAGAGAGGAGACAGAGTCGTGGGTGAGCAGAAAAAAGAGGGAGTGCGATCTACGTTTATTCCTTTCTACAGTGCATACCCACATCAACCACCAATGGGCATCAAAGACACAGGGCTCTATTGTACACCTGGCGCAAAGCGGCAAAAGGCACAACACAAGTGTCTTTGCTAGTTTCCAACTGACTCAGTTGTCATTTTCCCATTCAGGACCCACGTTGTTTAAATATCTAATACACTTGCGCTCATTTAAACGCACATGGGCCTGTTGGTCTTAAAATGAGGTCTGAAGTCGGTGTTGCAGTATTTCACTGTTATGTTCAGGACCATTATAGAGAGAGTAATATGTTCCTACATACTTGGGCACACAATGCACATCCACTCATCCACATGCCCCTGAGGGTCAGGGAGGGAGTTCTATGAGGGGAGGCTCACTTTCCCGCACTTTGAAAACACCTGCCCTAAAGTAAATTCAGGTGCCCAACAGCTCATTAGTAATAATAATAATGATAATAATAATAATAATAATAATGATAATAATAAACAATAAAGAATCATTAAATGAGTCCAGTTCATGATCCACTTCCTTTGGCTGAGTTGTTGTATAGCCTGATGGAATGTTGTGGAGAGGATGGTTGGTATTGTCCAAGATGGCCTCCGTTTTACATTGCATGCGTCCCTCCACAACAGTCCTGAGTGAGTACAGACTCCTGCCAAGCTCAGACCCAGGTTTTTGACCAGCTTGTCCAGTCTCTTTGTGTTTGTGTCTGACATGCTGCTGCCCCAGCAGACTGCAGCATAAAAAAGGACACTGTCCACTAGGGATGCAATGATTATAGATTTTGATGGTACAATTATAGTCTGAGGAGTAATCACAGTTTCACGATTATCATGCATTAATTTATTTAACGAGATTACTGATGTATTAAATCTGTAATTAAATCAATAATGTCATTTATTGCTGCCTTTTTGAAAATGAAATACAGCAACCAAATAATACAATACATAATAATGAATAAAGTTTTAAAAAAAAGTCTATCTCTCCCTTGTAATTAAATATAAGCGACCTTTGTTCTGTAAACATCTCATCCATGTGAGTATTTCCCTTTCAAACAAAACAAATGGAGTCAAAGGCTACAGGACCTCTGTCTGCACCGCTCTTTTGATCAAACATTTCACAAAATAAAAAACACATACAAAATAAATCCCACTTCAGGCCCATCGACTTTTTATACAGCTTTCAACCATATCACTCAATCTACTCCAAAAAATGAAGTTTTCTCAGATGCCACGGAGATCTGTTGACATATGAGCTCAATCGTTATCATTTCATTCATCATAACTTTTAGGACATTTGTGTTGGCTCAAAAAATTATTGAAAGCTTTGAAAAAAGTCAGTGAGAGACCTTGAGGTTTGAAGTAATGCACTGGATGTCACTGGATGGCATCTAGTGGTTAAAGGTGGTGGCAGCAGCATGGGCATGTACGATATCTCCGTCCTCCAGTGTAGATAGTGTTGCGGACTATATGATAGATTTTCTGTTTGAAGGTAAAACACAGCTTTGTCCTGGAAAAAAACCCACCATGAACAGCTCGAAATTTGAGCTGTTCATGGTGAGTTTTTTGGAACAATGTTACCTAGCCAAATTGTCAAAGGTTCTAAGAGTAACAGTCACAACACCTATGTGTGGTTGTTAACTGAACTACAGGTCAGTATCCTTTTGCTCACACTCTGTAGGAAGCCGTGAGCGAGTATCCTGGCCGTTGGCCAAAACTATGACACACTCAAGAGTGAACGTGATTGATTGGCATCATGTTGATAGATGAGGTAACCAATATTAGTTACTATCGATTAGACTCTCTCTGGGACAGTGATAAAAGTGTGGAGGTTTGACTAGTGTTATGGTTTTTTTAAATAGTGTAATATCGTTATCAGCTAATGTTGGCCCTAGTTTTCCCATTCCCGTTTGGCCAGAGGAGCTTCATAGACAGTTGCTTTTTGTTCTTACATGGAGTCTGTATGTGAAGTTTGTGTTGGAGTCTGTGTTGTTGTCATGTTTTTCATTCTAAGAGAGAGGCGGCAGGATGGGATGCGCCTTACACCAATTAGGGCCTACATGGATGACATGACGTTGATAACTACAACGGTGCCATGTATGAAAAGAGTACTTGAGAGACTTAATAAAAACTTAAAGTGGGCTAGTATGAAAATTAAGCCTAGTAAGTCTAGAAGTATCTCATTAAGTAGAGGGAAGCTAAGTGATAGGAAGTTTGTAATAGATGAAGAGGAAATTCCAATAATTAGGGAAAAATCAGTAAAGAGTCTAGGTAGGTGGTACAAGGCAGACTTGAAGGACGGAGAACAGATAGTGCAGTTTAGGAAAGATGTTGCCGAGGGACTGGATAGAATAGATAAATCAGGGCTTCCAGGAAAATTGAAGTTGTGGTGTTTGCAGTTCGGATTATTTCCCAGACTGATGTGGCCAATGTCTGTTTATGAGATTCCATTATCTGCTGCAGAAAAAATGGAAAGATTAGTTAGCTTTTACATTAGGAAGTGGCTAGGCGTTCCTAGATGCTTAAGTACGGTGGCACTGTATGGGAAAGGCATACTTCAGCTCCCAGTAAC